ACAAAACACTACCCAGTCCTGTGTATTCCTCACAATCGTTCAGATTGCAAATTTCTGGTGCTATCTGACAATGTTCTTTCCACTGTTAGTTATAAGGTTTTTAGAGGCTAAACATCAGAAGTAGTTTGCCTCTCCTTCTTCCTAGTTTTAGTCTGGAATTCAGCTGAAACCCGTCCACCATGAGTGTAGCATACTGGTATTTAAAATACCAGTGGCAGTGGCATGGCATCTAACATCACAGTAGTACGCAAGCCACCACAGTACCACAAATAGACACACAAGCAGCGGTGGAGGCTCTTAGTAGAATTAAATAATTCTTGTGGGTTCTCAATGACCATAAAACAAAGTCTTGTTGTTATTGTTACATACCTTCTTCAAGTTGGTTCCAACTCAACCACCCTGTATAGGGTTTCTGAAGAATGACTGGTAAGTACCCACCTTGCAGTTCAAACTGACCTTGTGGTCCAGTGCTTATCCTACAGTGTCTAACCAGGTGTAGAAGTTGAGACATGTTATTATGATGCTTACTCACTAAAAACCAAACCTAAGGAGCTCTGGTAGATTAGTGGTTATGACTCAGGCTGCCAAAATAAAGGTCAGCAGTGCAAAACTACCAGAGGTTGCACAGGGGAAAGATGAGGCGTTCTGCTCCCGTAAAAATTTGCAGCCTTGGAAACCCTGTGCAGGGTCACTATGAGTTGGAGCCAACTACAAGGTCCTTAACAACAACAAATGCCATCTAGTCAATTCACACTCACAGAGACCTGATGTAGGGTGCCCTGGGCTATAAATTCCTCTTTTTTTCCAAGAAGTGTAGGTGGATTCGAACTGCTGACTGGTTAGCCACCCAGTGTACATTCATTAATAATCTGCTTCTACCTCCTTTATTCCCAACTTCTCCTTCAGTTTCAATATTGACCTTCATGCCTCTGGTGGTAGTGGTGGTAGTTGTGCTGTAGAGTCAGTTCTGACTCATAATGACCCTGTATTGGGTTTCCGAGGCAGTAATTCTTTACTGGAGCAGAAAGCCTCATCTTTTTCCTGCGGAACAGCTGGTAGTTTCAAACTGCTGACTTTGAGATTAGCAGTCCGACTCATAACCACTACGCTACGAAAGCTCCTTTCTGGGATTCATTTAAAAATTATTATGAGTAAAGGTCAACTTTTCTCCTATGACAAGAAACTTTTTTACTAAATATTTTGGTTGAGTTTATGTTGTTCTCTCTCCTCCTACTCCATATAGTTGAAGTATTTATTCCCTTCATCTTTTGTATTTACAGAAGCAAAATCTAGCAAGACCACACAAAGAAGATCCTTAATAAATGCTTTTTGTATTGCACTGAGTTGTTTTGTGAGTACAGATGGATTAGGAAACAACGAAAACTGGGTGAAAGTTATATTTATATTTAGTTATATTTATATAAGAGGGAATAAACTGGTCTAACATGCATGAAACAAGATTGAAATTTCAAATTCCTTAGAGTCAACTCCTAAAAACACATCTCCAGGAAAACATCTCATAAATTAATTGTGTTTGGGAAAATATTTCAACGAGGAAATGAGTTTATCATTTTCTTCAATGGAGAGACATGAAGATGAAATCTTTTGGCTCACTGTTATTAATCCATACCTAAATTTTTTTCAGTAAATTTTACAAAGTTTGAAGCTCATCAGAACTGTTAGCTTACAAAAGAATCCTATGATGAATTTTCTTTTAATATTCTGATCATTAATCCATATGCATGTTGTTTTAAGCCTGGAAAGTAGGTGTTGTATCTTTCTTCACATATTTCTATTCTCTGTTTCTTCTACAAGTCAGCCATTACTTTTCCAAGTTGTGAAGTATCTTTCCTACTTTATAGTTAATTTTAAGTATACTATAGAGGACTTTGGAGTCCAGGTGTGGTGGTGGTGGTGGTTGGTGGTGGTTATGTGCCATGGAGTCGGTTCTGACTCATAGCGATCCTGTACAGGGTTTCCGAGTCTGTAAATCTTTACGGGAGCAGGAAGCCTCATCTTTCTCCTGCGGAACCGCTGGTAGTCTCGAACTGCCGGGTATGGTACTAAGGGTGAATTCACTGGACTGCAAAGTCGGTTTGAACTGCAACGTCAGCAGTTCAAGCTCACTCTAGTCACTTCTTAAAAACCCTATACAGGGTCACTATGGGTCAGAACCAACTCAACAGTACTTAACAACAACATAGAGGATTTTGGAGTCCTGGTGTGGTGCCGAGTATTCGACCTCAAGGTCAGTCTGAGCTATAAGGTCTCTGGTTCAAACTCACTAGCAGCTCCTCAGAAACCCAATACAGGTTCACAGTGAGTCAGAATCGATTCGATAGCACTTAACATAGAGGATTTTGTACTTATATGTGTAATAATAGTCATATGTATAAAGATCCTGAATCAATATCAGTATTCACTCCCAGTAGGAAAATTGGTATCTTAGCATTTATTTGAAAATATTTCACTCAACTGAGTCCTCACTCTATTGAGTCACCTATAAAATTCTCTTTGAAAGTGAATTTAGAAAGCTTATACTAGTGAGCCATGATATTTCCAAATTTTCATACACGGATTCTAAAGGGTGTTAATAAAATATACGACCATGAAGTACACACATTATTTTTGTTTCAAAAATCTTATATATCAATGTTTTACTACACTTCTCATTCTACTTTTTCTTTCTGAAACTTTTTTTTTTTTTTTTAATGTCTTTGGTCTATTTTTTTCAGCTACATTTAGTATGACCACATCTTGCCATAATAATCAGTACTTAAACTCATTTTGGAGTTCTGGTGTGGCACTGTGGGTTAATGCGCTAGACTGCAAAGTAGCTTTGAACCACCAGGTAGGCAGTTCAAGCTCACCAGTCACTACTAGGAAACCATACCTAGGATCACTATGAGTTGGAAACAACTAGACGGCACACAACAACAACAACAACAAACACATTTTGGTGCCTTACCTCATTATTTTGGTTTCTCCCAACCGATAGCTTATGAAAAATAGTTATGACTCCTTTGGGAATTGGAGCCTGAGCACATTTCATTCGAGATTTTCTTCTCATGAGTAAGAAAACATGCTTTATCTGACAATCATATATTTTAAATATGATTGACTAATGGTTTGGATTGAGAGTCGGATGATGGCAGAGAGATTTGGAAAACTACAAACAGAGTGCTACCTACATCTTTGTTTATACACACTCTCCTTGTTAGTCCATTAATTTTACTGCTATGATATTTTCACCCAGTACAGGAGCTTTTATTTTCCTCCTGTCACCTCAGTCAGATCCAACAAGTAGCACTGCCATTATAGTATTACTCAGAATTTAGTATGTACAATAAATATCTTTAAGTTGCTAACCACCAACACCCATGGTTTCTCATTTTCCTGCAGATTCCATCTTCCAGCTGCTAATGGGTCACCTCAGCCAGGAGGCATGAGTGGAACTGAGCACCATGACTCAGCATCAGGAGACCTCAAAGATATAGAGGCAGCTTCTTCTCCTCCCCTAGGGAAAACTACACATGTAAGTTCCCTCAAACACCTCAACAAGATTAGCTCTGAAGATTTAAGCACATTCTAAGATGCTGGGAGTTCTGTACCACAACTCCACCAGGCAGTAGTGAGAAAACTCAAGCAACATAGTAGCAGAATTGAAATGCACTGTGAGATTCTTCAAAGGCGCTTTTATCCTGCCCTTCTCATCATTGCTCTATTAAAAAATAAAATAAAATGACGCCTTATCGTATAAGGTATACTTGAGCTTATCTATCATTGTTTTACCTATTATTGTGTTTTCCATTATTGTTTCTTGACAGATGATTTAATAAACATATATTTTTTGAAACAGTATTTAAAAACATGCTTGCAGAAGTAATTAGATACACACATCTAAGATTATTGTTATGTATTAGATATAAATATATCAGTTATGTATTATAATAATAAACATGTATGTATATATATTTACAAATAGTGTAAATTTACTGCTGCTAAGAATCCTCACAGAATTCTTTTTGTATCAAGTCTGTTAGTGAATACTTATGATGCTATTTATTTACCCTAAAGAGATGTTCGGGAATCCATGCTTTATTATACCTGATTTGTGCATTTACTAAAATTGTGCATAATATTTAAATAAGCAGCATTAATTCACAAAGACATCTAGAAAATATATTAGCACGGCACTATATAGTTTGGTTTTTCACAGTCTTTATAAATTTCAATAGGCTCCTATACAGTGGGTTCTATAATAGTGTAAGGTTAAATTTTTAAAGATCCACGAAAGTTGAAAATAAAACACCATTTTTGAGAGGTGGTAAATTTCTCAATATACTCTATCACAATTGGTCTGTCAATCCCTTTTGAGTAATGTATTCTTAACAGGAAACACACACACACTACAGGTAGAAGTCAAACTGTCTTGTGTTTTTGACAACAAGGTCTTTTTTCAAGGACATGCTAGCCTGGATTCTTTTAATTCTATCTACCCAATTTGTATGCAACACAGTCTTTGAGTTTGAGGACTTCAAGGCTTTACTTCTGGGAGAGAAGATGAGCATTTTCAGTGTCTACCAGCATCTTCCACCACTGCTTGAAAACACAGACATTAAGAAAATTATCTGAGTCAAAGGAATGCCACAACCCTGCTAAAACTTCTCCAGGAGGTAATTTTCTTTTATTGATTCATCTCACTCTCAGTACTGCCCCTCCCCAGTTTGCAGTCTTCTATCTACCCTAGACACACACATCTAATCTCTCATACATTCTTGAAAAGCTTTTGCATGCAAAATAAAATACCCAGTTATATAATATGATGGAATTGCAAAATAAAGCCACATCATAATTAACATAACAACCACAGCCAAGAACCCTGACAATGTGTTCCCATAGTGAGGTGGGAGCCAACCTGACTAATACTGCATCATCATTATCCTAACTCAGCACGTTCGAGTTGCTACAATTACCTAACCTACAGGAAAACCTCAGACTTACCTCATATGCTGAGTTATCGGTCGTTCTGGGCATAATATCTACTGTAAATTGTCCATTTGAATAAATTCAATGACTGTAATATCACAATATGCCTCTCTCCTGCAGCAGAAAGCAAGTTAAAAGGACTTCAAGCTGTGACCTCAGACGCAGGCACAGCCGCTCCCATCCTTCAGCCAACCTTCTGGGGAGAGCAGGTTAGATGACAGCAAAGCTGGCTTCTACATAGAAATACTTTCAAATAAAGCATTCTGTGCTGTGAGCTGCGGGATTTACATCTCCCGAATTTGGCTGGTCGGAGTCAATGCTTCTTCTATGTCTGAAAATATTAAGCATTTCACAGCAGTCACTTAATGCAAGAAACTATCTGAGGCGACTTCACAAACCCTGTCATTCTGTTTGGAGACTAAAGAATGAGCTCCACATGCATAATTCATGCATTAAAATCTTCAATGCACTTCCTGTAGCTGCTGTTCTATCCAGTAATGGGCTATTGATCACTACATCCCTAAGACAATTGGAGCTCAGCGATTGGTTTATTTCTACAAATAAAATCACAACCTAAATCACAGGCAGAAGACTCCAATCCTGCAGCATTCATTTGGGCAAAACACTAACATAGAAGGGATGACATTTGCATGCTGCAGAGTATCTAAACTGGACTCTCTCTTTGGAAGAAATGCTACATTATGAATTTTTTTTTTTTAATTAAAAGAATCATACTTTCTGCAGCTTTAAGCTGAATATTTTATATTGTATGTGAAATATACCAAGTTGATTTTTTTTTTAACCACTTCTGGAAAATCTTCAAATTAAGTTAATTTAAATTGTAATTTAAAATGAAAATTTTAAGAATAAAAATTGTTATGTGTGATCATAAAACATAGAAGATTTTTACCTGGACTCATTTGAATACCCTTTCTAAGAAGACTTTTCATTTAAGTATTATTATTAAATTTTCATTGCAAAAATGTGGACTAGGTTTCCTTCTGTTTTAAAATCAGAGTAGCTTCATAATGTTCACCAGTGTTTACTCTTTGGGACCTTAAGTATCTTTTCTCTAGGTGTAGTATTACCTTTGAGTCATTTCTTACTTTAAATCTAAGAACATGTCATTGTTTCTAATAGTGTTTCTTCACAGACTGAAAAATGCAGGGTTTAAAGAAAATGGCCTGTTCATTATGCTAATTAATATACCCAAAAAACCCACAGGTCGCATTTTATGTCATCATAATGTTCACCAATATATTTGAATGGGAAAATTCTTGTAAAACATCAAATGTATATACATGCTTACACACACACACAAAATTGCTTGCCTATTTCATGAAGTGTCTACATGTAAAAACTAATTAAGCTCTATATTTTCCACAGAAGAGTGAACATATTAAGGTCACTTGGAATTTTAATGCTATGACTTTCCAAAGCCTCTTTTTATACATACATGTACTATGTAAGACAAATGCAACTCATAGGTCTATGTTATAGCACTGGACCAGCTGTAAAATCAGAGTGAGACCATCAAGTTCATGGCTCGACACTAGATTATAGAAAATCTGCCACAGTATAACCAAGGTTTCCCATCTAACAATTGTACTGCAGGGAGCAATTCACCCTTAAAGGGGATATAACTATGGTGATTTTCAGTCAATATACCAATAATAATTAAGATCAATCTGCACAGGTAGTATAGTAAAGGCACTGATGGATCATAATAGGGGTTGAGTTCAGGAAGGTTGAAGGAATCTCGTTTCTGATCCATGTGAATGTCAGTGCATAATCTCTGCTAGTCCTACAGAGAAGATAAATGTTTATGTTAGAATATTCTAAGCAGCCATTTAAATTATATATGTGAGTCAGTCAAAAAACATTGCTACAATATCATAAATGCTTTTATTAAACAATAATTTCAAAATGTGAAGTTATTGTTTCTCAACATATCCTCCATCTGGGTCTATACATTTCTGAAGGTAGTGTTTCCATCTCTCTAACCCTTCCCTGGAGAATTCTGCCCTCTTCCATTTATACCACATTAAGAGAGCAGTTTGGGCATCCTCAAGGGACTCAAATCGTATACCTTTTAAATGTTCTTTGAATTTAATAATTTCAAAAGAAGTCTGAAGGGGCAAGATCAGGACTGTAAGGTGCATAGGTGAGATTTCCACAGAAAATTCTCTTACCACCGCCCTTCATACCACTGGCAAATGTCCTGATGGAAAACAATTCCTTGGCACAACTTTCCTGGCCTTTTTCTCATCAGCGCAGTTTCCAATTTTCATAAATTTTCTTCCTAAGAAGACCCTGTGATCATAATCATTCTGTCTTTCTAGTGAATCTATCAAGATTACCTCTTTGGAATTCAAAAAGGCAGTCACCATAATCTTCTAAGATGCCCTTTCTGCTTTGAATTGAATTGGCCCAGCTGATCTCCTCATTAGTCAGTTCTGATTGGACTTTTTTTGAAGGCCCCCTAATGAAACTAAGACAAGTGTATTACTGAGAAAACGATTGCAGAGACAAGTTTAAACAGTTTTAGTCTGCTATAAAATTATGCATGTAGGAACTGGAACCCTAGTGACAATACTGATTGACTTACACTTGTGTTTATGTGTGTCATCCACACCTCACAGAAGGGGACTTCAAAAAGTTCATGGAAAAAAACTTTAAATAATGCAATTTTCCTGAAAATTTTATGAAGCCCCCTCGTGTGTGTGTGTGTGTGTGTGTGTGT